TGTCAAGAGAAGAGTATTAGGTTAAGAGTTTATATTGAAATTAAAATTTTACATAAGGATATAAATGGAACAAAAATTTACGTTTTTGGTAAAGCTAATGAGTTTTTTTAAAGAGAGGGTGAGAGAGAGAGAGAGAGAGAGAGAGAAACTAGAAGATGCAAATGGAAGCATTGCAAAAAAGATTTTTAATTTGAGAAAAATAAAAAAAATCGAGGAAAACAAAAGTAACAAAGAGGAGCGCACAAAAAGGAATACAATCACGTTTTGGAGCAAAGATTCATACCTTAACTAGTTATCAAATAAGAGTTGAGTAAATAAAATTTTAGACTTTGATGGATGAAACTCGATCTCTAATCTCGGGAAGGTATTCTGTGTGTGGCTGGGGAAATAGGTGAACAATGTTAGAGAAGGGTCACGAGAATGGTATTAGGCTAAGATTTATAATTGGAATGAAAATTTTTAAATGTGGATATAAATAGAACAACAAAAACTAGATTTTCGAATAAAGTTGAAGTTTTTTTAAAAAAAAAGAAAATAGAATTTAGGATATACTTCAAAAAAGATGCTATCATTATTTTTTCATGAAAATAAAAAATATTTCAGACTTGAACAAAAAGGAATTATCAGGTTTTCAAGATAATTTTCATACCGTTATTATCAAATGAGACTTAAGGAGATCCAAATTCTCCTTATGGTTGATGTCACTTATTCTATTCTCGATGGAATTCTTTGCGTCGCGAGGAAAAGGGGTAATAGCGTGATTGAAGTTAAAAATTTATAATAGGAATATTAAAGGATTTAAAAAGTTACTTTTTCGATAAAGTTTTTCTATTTTTCTGAAAAGAGAGAGAAACTTGAATATATGCTTTTAGAAGATTTGAGAACAAGTTATTCTTCTTATTCGAGGGAAAAAAATATTTATGGAAAGAAAAAAGTTATAGAGAAATGGGAATTATAGGCAACGCATTCTGGTTTTGGGCCTAAGCTTCTTACATTAGTCATTAAATGAGGATATAAATGGAACTAGAAAATTCTAATTTCGATAAAGTTGATTGTTTAAAAAAAGAAGAAGAAACAGATGCTAGAATATGCTTTGACAAGATTCTATTATTGTTTATTTGAGGGGGAAAAAGCATTTGAAGGAAACAAAAGTAAGAGAGAGATGGGAACCGAAAGATACATAGTCTGGTTTTGCGGCTAAGATTCATACCTTAATTATAAAATGAGATTTTAGTAGATCTGAACTATACTTATGTTGGATGAAACTCGATCTCTATTCTTTAGTTGGTATTCTGTGCGGCGCTATGAATGGGGGAACAATGTGAGAGCAATGTCAGGAGAAGACTATTAGGTTAAGAGTTTATTTTGAAATTAAAAAATTAAATAAGGATAAAAATGGAACAAAAAATTACGTTTTTGATAAAGCTAATGAGTTTTTTTGAAGAGAGGGAGAGAGAGAAACTAGAAAATGCATATGGAAGCATTGAAAAAAAGATTTTTAATTTGAGGAAAATAAAAAAAATTGAGGAAAAAGAAAAGTAATAAAGAGGAGCCCACAAAAAAGAATACAATCACGTTTTGGAGTAAAGCTTCCTACCTCAATTAGTTATCAAATAAGACTTGAGTAGATCAAAATTCTTCTTATGATGGATGAAACTCGATCTCTAATCTCGGGAAGGTATTTCGTGTGCCGTTTAGGAAAGAGGTGAAAAATGTCAAAGATAGGTCAGGATAAGGGTATTAGGTTAAGATTTATAATTGGAATGAAAAATGTTAAATGTGGATATAAATTGAAAAAAAAATAGGTTTTCGAATAAAGTTGAAGTTTTTTTTTTTTTTTTTTACAAAAAAATAATTTAGGATATGCTTCAAAGAAGATGCTATCATTATTTTTTTTGGAAAATAAAAAATAATCGAGACTTGAACAAAAAAGAATAATTGAGTTTTCAAGCTAAGTTTCATACCTTTATCATCAAATGAGACTTAAGGAGATCCAAATTCTCCTTATGGCTGATGTCATTTATTCTATTCTCTGGATGGTATTCTTTACGCCATGGGGAAAATGGGTGATAGCGTGATTGAAATTAAAAATTTATAATAGGGATATTAAAGGAATTAAATAGTTACTTTTTTGATAAATTTTGTCTATTTTTTCTAAAAAGAGATAGAACCTAGAATATATGCTTTTGGAAGATTTGAGAACACATTATTCTTCTTTTTTGAGGGAAAAAATATTTGTGAAAAGAAAAAAGTTACGGAGATATAGGAATAAAAGGCAACCCATTATGGTTTTGGGCCTAAACTTCTTACATTAGTTATTAAATGAGGATATAAATGGAACTAGAAAATTATATTTTCGTTAAAGTTGATTGTTTTAAAAAAAGAACAAGAAAGAGAAGCTAGAATATGCTTTGAAGAGATTCTATTATTGTTTATTTGAGGGAAAAAAAGCATTTGAAGGTACAAAAGTAAGAGAGAGATGGGAACCGAAAGAAACATAGTCGGGTTTTGCGGCTAAGATTCATACCTTAATTATAAATTGAGATTTTAGTAGATCTGAACTATACTTATGTTGGATGAAACTCGATCTCTATACTTTAGTTGGTATTCTGTGCGGCGCTGGAAATGGGGGAACAACGTGAGAGAAATGTCAGGAAAAGAGTATTAGGTTAAGAATTTATATTGAAATTAAAAAATTTACATAAGGATATAAATGGAACAAAAATTTACGTTTTCAATAAAGCTAATGAGTTTTTTTAAAGAGAGAAAGAGAAAAACTAGAAGATGTATCTCGAAGCATTGAAAAAAAAAAATTAATTTGAGGAAAATAAAAAAATTGAGGAAAATAAAAGTAACAAAGAGGATCCCACAAAAAGGAATACAATCACGTTTTGGAGAAAAGCTTCCTACCTTAATTAGTTATCAAATAAGTAGTTATCAAATAAGACTTGAGTAAATCCAAAATTCTTCCTATGATGGATGAAACTCATCTCCAATCTCGGGAAGGTATTCCGTGTGCGGCAGGGGAAAGAGGTGAACAATGTCAGAGAAAGGTCAGGAGAAGGGTATTAGGTTAAGATTTATCATTGGAAGGAAAAATTTTAATTGTGGATATAAATGGAACAACAAAAATTAGGGTTTTGAATAAAGTTGAAATTAAAAAAAAAAAGAATTTAGGATATGCTTCAAACAAGATGCTCTCATTATTTTCTCAAGAAAATAAAAAATATTTGAGACTTGAACAAAAAGGAATAATCGGGTTTTCAAGCTAATTTTAATACCTTTATTATCAAATGAGACTTAAGGAGATCCAAATTCTCCTTATGGTTGATGGCACTTATTCTATTCTCTCGATGGTATTCTTTGCGCTGCGGGGAAATTGGTTAATAGCGTGATTGAAATTAAAAATTTATAATAAGGATATTAATGGAATTAAAAAGTTACTTTTTTGATATAGTTTGTCTACTTTTTCTGAAAAGAAAGAGAAGCTAGAATATATGCTTTTGGAAGATTTGAGAACAAGTTATTCTTCTTTTTTTTAGGGAAAAAATGTTTGTGAAAAGAAAAAAGTTTCGGAGAAATGGGAATAAAAGGCAATGCATTCTGGTTTTGGGCCTAAGCTTCTTACATTTGTTATTAAAGGAGGATATAAATGGAACTAGAAAATTATATTTTCGATAAAGTTGAATGTTTAAAAAAAGAAAAAAGAAAAAGAAACTAAAATATGCTTTGACAAGATTCTATTATTGTTTATTTGAGGGGGAAAAAGCATTTGAAGGAAACAAAAGTAAGAGAGAGATGGGAACCAAAAGAAACATAGTCGGTTATTGCTGCTAAGATTCATACCTTAATTATAAAATGAGATTTGAGTAGATCTGAACTATACTTATGTTGGATGAAACTCGATCTCTATTCTTTAGTTGGTATTCTGTGCGGCACTAGGAATGAGAGAACAATGTGAGAGCAATGTCAAGAGAAGAGTATTTGGTTAAGAGTTTAAATTAAAATTAAAAAAATTAAATAAGGATATAAGTGGAACAAAAAATTACGTTTTCGATAAAGCTAATGAGTTTTTTTAAAAGAGAGAGAGACTAGATGATGCGTCTGGAAGCTTTGGAAAAAACATTTTAATTTGAGGAAAATAAAAAAAAATATTTGAGGAAAACAAATGTAACAAAGAGGAGCCCATAAAAAAAGAATACAATCACGTTTTGGAGCTAAGCTTGCTAATAAAATTAGACTTGAGTAAATAGAAATTCTCAACACTGTTATCACAAAACATTCTCCCTCTATTATATTAAACTAAGTGCATTGCAGAGTAAACAGGGAATAATTTGACTGAAGTGTCGGGAGAAAAGTTTTAGATTAAGAGTTAAAATGAGAATTAAAAATTAAATTCAAAATAGAAATGAAATAAAATCAATAAAACTAACGTGTTTTTTTAAATGCAACAAAAAGAAACTAGAAGATCCTTGATAAATATCTGAAAAGAGACTTTAGGATAATAGGATTAGTGATATGGTGAAATATTTAATCTTATTATATCTATTTTTATCACACTTTACACTCAATTATTATGGGCTTTCATTGGTTATATTTTTTATGCAGCAACTCAAACTTAAGCCCACTAGAAAAAGTAAAAGGAAGGAATGGTTCAAGCCTAAAAAAGAAGGCTAAATCAACAGTGTAAATAAGGAGGATCAATGAATAACTGTCTGGTAGAAAAGAATTTTTTTTTATTTAAAAATCTTAATTTTCAGAAATATAATTTTTATATCCAGAGTTTATGATAATATTCAAAAATTTAAAATTTAAAAAAATTCAGTTTTTCGGAAATCCTCTAAAAATTCTTGTACCAAACGCAAGCAGAAAGTAAAAGAAAGGAATGGTTCTAATTGTTTAATATGCGGGCTTTGCTTTTGGCCCTATGGCTTAATAGGCCGAGCTGGCCCGTGTTGGCAAACGGCTCTATTTTTTCATCTTCGTTGTTGATTTTCATTTTTCGTTCATCTAATAATCGATCCTCATTTTCATTCTTCGTTGTTACATAACATTCACATTTCCAGAAAGAGAGAGAGAGAGAAGAAGAAGAAGAATGGGGAGCGAAGAGGAGAACGGGGAATTCTACTTGAGATACTATGTTGGGCACAAGGGGAAGTTCGGTCACGAGTTCTTGGAGTTCGAGTTCAGACCCGACGGTAAGCTTCGTTACGCTAACAACTCCAACTACAAAAACGACACTATCATTCGCAAGGAGGTTTACCTCACTCCTGCCGTTCTCCGCGAGTGTCGTCGTATCATTTCCGAAAGTGAAGTAAGTAACCCTAACTCAGTCAAGTAGTGTTATGATTTGATAACCAAAATAATAGATAAAATGTAACAAGCTTTTGCAATTGAAAGTAACAGTAGTCGTTTCTGGTACAGATTCTGTTATTCTGTTATGCCTACGTGTCATTTAGTTGTAAACAAAAACTGAGCAATGATTAGGTTAATTTCTGGTAGAGTTTTGCTCAGCAAGCTTAGTGTAACTCTGTAAAACTGTGTGTTGAATGATATCTATCACAAGGGTTTAAGATTTTTCTAGTCATTTGTTATCTCTTTATATCCCAACATTAGCACACATAAGGTTAGTGCAAACTTACACAACATGAAAACAGGGAGGACTTGAGTCCTATTACATTTCACACAGTACAATAGAGATGATGGAAATATAATCATCACAATTCAACATACATTCCAAATTCCAATCACAAGTTTAAGTTCAACAGCATTAAACTTGTCAAAATCCTTAACACAAGTCGGGGTGTATTCCATTCTCATTATTAGCTAAATACAATCTGGTTCCTAGACAGTAAGGGGGCGAACCAGAGTAGTGGTAAAGCTGTTCTTTCATGATTGAAAGGTCATGGGTTCGAATTCAGAAAACAGTCTCTTTGCAATTATGTAAGGGTAAGGCTGCATACAAAGATTACCTCCACCCCACACTCGCTAGTAGGGTTTAACGTGGAGTGGTTTGGTTTTTTTTTTTTTAGATAATTGAATTAATACTTAGCCATAAAAAGGTATTATTTCAGAATAGGTTCAAAGCAATAGTCAATTGAATGTTAAAACTGGGTTTTTAAGAATCAGTAATACAATTTAGTCAAAGTGGCATGTCAACAGTAAGGTTTGGCATTTACGAAAAAATATTTAGTAGAAGCTTGAACACATAAAATAGATTGTTGATTCCTTTAAATAAATCAGCATTTACTCATGTCTAACAGTCAGCAGCAAATAGGTGTGGGCCTTACAGTCATCAGGAAATTTGAATTCACTCGAGCAGTACTAAGAGCATTACTTGGGTAGTAGTTTGACAGATAGGAACTGGCCAAAATCTTCTCAAGGCCATACAATAGGTGTTGATTATTTAATATCTGTGTACAACTGTGTGTGATTGAGAGACTTAATATCTGTGTACAACTGTGTGTGATTGAGAGACTTAATATCTGTGTACAGATAGGTACTAGTTTGACAACACGACTTAATGATTGAGAGACTGTTTTACAACTCTCTGTGACCTTAGATTTAAATTGAAGTATCCAGTATCATATAAGGCTTAATTGACAGGGCTATCTTGAAGGAATCTTGACTTCTAGATATTTGAGTAAACTATAACCCAAGTACCTATGCTTTTTATATTGTGGTGATATGACTGAATTGAGGGAAATAAAACTGCAGTGATTTGGATGCCCCATTACTTATTGAATTTCCATATTACTGCTCAATTGACTCTGAGTTAATTGGTTGAGAAGCTGCCAAGTATTCATACTGCGTAAAATCCAACTTGTGGCTATTAAATAAGTATTGTCAAAATTAAGTTGCTAAAAGTTCGGTTACGAAAATTTTAGGTGGATGTTGTATCATCTGAGTGTGTTAACTCTTTTACTTTCATGTTAATCACGTGTGTGAATCAGCCCACACTGTTTGAGAAATTGATAGTATATTTTATCTGATATTTCTCCCTGCCAAATACATTATGTTTGGCACTGGTGAATGAAACCTTTTTACCTTGTTTTGTAATTCAAACTTAAACGATTAAAAGTGGGTTTGTTAAGTCTGTTTATTATACTGCTTTGAACTGAGATTTAGTTTTATGCTTGTGTTATCCTTCTCCTTCCTCTGCTTTAATTAGAATTCAAGTCGTGGTGATGAAACTTTTTAAAATATTAATGATTTTGTGAGTAAATATCAGCTTTAATTCAGTTTGATTTGAATATCCGAACCTACGTTGAAATCTAATGTAGAAACCACATTGCTATTCTGTCTTAGTTTTGGCACTTATTGATATACCGTAGCGGACTATTCTCAATTTTTTTTTTTTTTTTAGCAATTACATTCCTAGCTTGACATTACATAGCTGATTTGTTAAACTAATATTTTGAGGGAATGATTCATGGTTTTATACAAAGATAAATAAGGCTGTACCGTGTATATGTCTGTGCCTAGTCCAGTAAGTTAATGATTGTTTGTATGATCTGAAATGTGCAAGAAGTGAATCACCAATGTTCCTGCACCTCCCATTAGTAGGTGTCATGAAGTAATTATATTTGGTGAACTGGCGTAACTGTTTCGGCATGACAAAATACGCCTATATGGCCGTTGTATCTCATGAATTGAGCCCATGAATTGTATATACTTGATATATATATATATATATATATGTATATATATATATATATATATATATATATATTTATTCTTATTTATTTACTGATGCTTTATTTATTCATAAAGTGATGATTTGAATAGTTCCTTTTGCCGAGTATTTTTACCTATTCTTTAGCCGTTGAGTTCTTGGGGGTTGTTATTTGCATTTCTCTGCTTTCTCATTAGTTGGTGTCTTTGTTCAGATCATGAAGGAAGACGATAACAACTGGCCGGAACCTGATCGAGTTGGACGGCAGGAGCTCGAGATTGTGATGGGGAATGAACACATCTCCTTCACAACATCAAAGATTGGATCTCTTGTGGATGTTCAGAGCAGTGCAGATCCGGAAGGTCTTCGCATCTTTTACTATCTTGTTCAGGTGATCTGAATGATTGATGATTTTGATGGATTTCTTTTGTGAGTATTAACCATGGGATGAAATTGTGTGGAATGCAGATCAAGAGAGAGGATTGCCACCCACTGTGTAACCCACACACATTAATCAAATAAAAGATTGAAGTATTCCCAATTTCCCATTATTTAGGGGAAATTCTTCTATTTACTTGGTCTGTAGCAAAAGTCTATAGAAGAATTTCTTGGCAATTTGGGTAGAGTTAGGACTACCATCAACTCAAAAAGACTTTCCTAGTTCAGTAATGGGTATCAAAACAAGCAAAGACCAAATGAGAACAAAAACAACATTAAAACTGAACAGAAAATACCAGCCTTGATTAGGGACTATGAACATTAGTAAAACAGTACATAACTCAGAATAAAGATAACTAAAATTAAACTGTCTTAGTAACTTACATAAACCGATACCATACTTTCACCTAAATATCACCAATATTTTTAATGTAAGAATTTCAATTTCTTCATTCTAATGTCAAATTAACTGATATTTAAAAATTACTGTTTTGTGTTTTCTTGACTGTATTTGATCATGTTTTAGATATAGTGATTCGTCTTTCCTCCTTGATATATTATTATTTTGTTTTACTTATATTTGTTAGCCTTGTGGACCCTAGTAAGTATTAGAACCCGCCCTTTGCTTGCTGAATGCCAGATTTGCTTTATGTCAGCTAATGCGTTTTGTTTATTCTTATTATAATTACTTTTTTCAGGATTTGAAGTGCTTCGTCTTCTCTCTTATTTCACTTCACTTCAAGATCAAGCCTATATAAGATGTTTTATAATGTTTAGTGCTCGTTCATACTCTCTCGGAATGTGTACTTGTTAAGCAACTATCCCTCTGTTTGCTAGTAGAATTTGACATCTGACAGAGTAGCTTTATTTATAATTTGTTACCTGAATTGGAATTTTTTGATTTGAATGGATGGCCCTTGTACCAAAAAAGTTGAGCGGATTGCTTTCTTATGCATGGTTTATCTATTCTTTCTCTTTCTCTTGCTTTCACGTTTGGAGCATCTAATTGTTACATAGGGAGTATACAATTTTAAACATAGGGAAGCTGTTTTAAAAGATATCATATCAACACTACTTGCTGCGGAGTTTTGATCATAGGGAAGCTGTGAATGATGCCAGAACAAACATGTGTAGAGAAGAGATTTATGGATCTGTGATTAAAGCTATAGTTTGTTCATGGCTGAAAGTGACTTATAATCATCCACACAAGGTATATATGATTTTCTTAATCCTAATTTTAATTTTTCTGTCCATTAATGACTGATTTTACATTTTAACGAAAGCAGATGGAACACAAAGAACATTATTTACAAGATATATATACATGGATCAAGATATTTTACACATAAATTATACTCACAATCTTTGGCGTTAATATCACTCTCAGCGATTAAGATTTAATGTAAGATTTATTATTCATTATTATATTGAAGAGGTAGTTATCTACATTATCCCGGGTGGAACACTCACTTGGAACATGTAATTTCTTAACAATTTATAGTCATATCAATAAATGATTCAGTTACTTTAAATAATTTTATCTAATATTTACCGAAACGATATTGTTTTAGGGCGAAAATCATGATGTGTCTGTAATTTTAATTTATTTCAGGGTTATAATAGTCTTTATCATTTTAATTTTTTAATTTTTCAATTTCAAGACGACATCGTTTCGGTAAACATTAGATAAAGTTGTCTAAAATAATATTAGATATTTTTTTCTCATAAATAAAAGGAAAAAATGGATCTCCTTTGAAAAGACACATACTTAGGTCATTTTAGGAGATAGACACAAGAAGGTGGAACCCACTTTTTTATTTTTGTTTTTGTTTTTTTCAATGGAACCCACACCTCTTTATATCTACCTCTCTCCTAAAATGACCTAATAAAAGAAGGCACATTTTCCCCTAAATAAAATGATAGTTGTACCGTTTGAGAACTATAAGCCCGCTATGTTCCCGGTAGAGATTGAGTCACTCTATGGATTATGCTCCAAGCGTTGGTAGAGACCAAGCTCAAGGCACTGTTCCAATTATACATGCAGTTGATAATGGGGTCAGGTGTGCGTAGTGTAACTCAATATTAATGGACAGAATAACGATACATAAGATACCCTTTGTGTGTGGAAAGGGGGGATATTTATAGAGGATGGAAACGCTTACCTCCTGAGGGTTGGTGAGAGGGGGTTAACCCTCCTTGGGATTAGGCAAGGGTTACTGACACTGCTACAATAGCAGTGATGCGGCTCCTGCACCTGGCAGTGTCAACGTATGGCAAAGGAGAAGTTACTTATTATAGCGTTTGGGGCGGGCTCCCAAGGGGTTAAGGTTCTCAGGTGAGACATTTTGGTGTTCCACCTTGGGATGAGAGCCGCCTTGAGAGTAGAGAGGCTGAGGAGTTGGTAGGGTTGACATGGACATGGTGAAATGACTTGGGCTCATGCGAGTGGGCCTTATGGTCGTTGAGCCATCCAGAACAATAGTTGACGTTAAAATGCAACCAGCTTCTAACATTGAAAAGAAGTTTAAAATTGCAATTGAATCACTTGATAATTTACAAACGTCTTTTTCACCTAAAATTTCTATGCAACTCCATCAAGACACTAAATTCAAATTCCCATCTTTTTATTTCTTATGCTTTTAACATTAAAGACAAACAAGATCACACGGAAAAAGAATATAGTATTTTTCATAATTTATTATTGTACCTTCTTTCATAAGGGACAAAATTTATATATTTTATTGTTCAGTTAAGAATGTTAAGTTGATTCTCTACTATCCTTCTGTTCGCAAACTTAGGGGTTGGCATAGTAATAACTAGAATGCTCCTTGTCCTGACTACTCCTTCAACAAAATCTTGGTTGAAAATGAGGGAAATTGTTGTAATTCGGGAAATCCGTTTCACAAACAGTAACGCAAGAAACATAACAAGAAAGAATAAAGAAAGCATAAAGAGACGAGACACCAGTATTTTACAGGTTCAGAAACTCAGTATGAGTGAGTTTCCTACGTCCTGGGGCCTAAAGAGGGTTAAACGCCCTCTGATATGCAGTTTATTCAAGATCAGAAAGAAAAACAAGAGTTCATAGTATACAGAAAAAGCTATACAGAAACGAGCAAATGAGGAACCTAATTTCTCAAGCTATTAACAACAAGACAAACAGATCTTGAATAAACACTCAAGATTAAGAACGGTAAACAACAGATATTATAAAGATGAAGAAGACTTCCCAATCTTCACAAGCTAGCATAGGAAACGTGGTTCCTATCTCTGGACCTCCAAGCCGAACACACGAGCTTCACAGGACCACCTTGCAGATTATCTTCTCCAGCATTTGAATACCAATCAGAGAAATTCACCGATCAAAGGAACCGTCTTGTTGAGATGAACAAGATTCATCAAAGCATCATAGCCAAAGTCACAGTGTTTCACTGAGTGTTTGTACAAAAAAACACTCAAAACTGAAAACCCTAGCAGAGCCTATTCTTTCAAGAGATTATATCAGAATACCCAAAAGAAGATCTCACGCACGCACAGCACAAAGGGGAGCTCATATACCATTAAGCCATCACACCTTAAAACGCTGACGTTTTGAGGTGTGTTGCTTATTGCACAAAGACCCAACTTCAGCTGAATAGGGGAAATCACAATGGGCCTTGAGTTAACACTTGGACCACAAACATTTAATAATCTCAACACAAAAATAAGAATCAGCCCACCAGAGACATAGTAAAGTGAAGCAAGATATTTACACATATATTTTGTTTAGGAAATATATATATATATATATATATATATATATATATATATATATATATATATATATACACTACAAAACTCCACCTATTTTCTAAACATGCAACAGAATAAAAAGAAGCAAACCAGATTTGATGTAGGCATTTAACCCATAGGCCCATATGCAATGCATGATCATGGTGATTCAATTTTTAGCAAACCTAGAGCATCTCTAAATTTGCTAACAGGTACAGATTTTGTAAAAATATCAGCAGGGTTAATAATGCCAGAAATTTTATCAACAATTACTTGTTCACTAGCAATTATCTCCCTAATGAAATGAAGCCTAACATCTATATGTTTTGTTCTTTCATGAAATGCAGAATTTTTTGAAAGATGGATAGCACTTTGTGAGTCACAATTTACCTTTGGTGGGTTCTTACCTAAACCCAACTCACACACTATACCTTTTAACCATATGGCTTCCTTGACAGCTTCAGTCAATGCCATATATTCAGCTTCTGTTGTTGACAATGCAACTATGTGCTGGAGATTGCATTTCCAGCTCACCACTTTACCTCCCACGGTAAACACAAAACCAGTTAGTGATCTACGTTTATCAAGGTCAGCAGCATAATCAGAATCACAATATCTAATAATATTAAAATCATTAGAATCAAATGCAGAGAAATTTAAACAGCAATTAATAGATCCATTTAAGTATCTAAGTAACCATTTAACTGCACTCCAGTGCTCTTTGCAAGGTTTACTCATAAACCTGCTTATCATGCTGACTCCACATGCTATATCTGGCCTTGTGCCAATCATAGCATACATTAAACAACCAACAACATTAGAATAGGGAACAGAGGACATATACTGAGACTCTTTAGGAGATAATTCTCCTGAAACAGCTTTCAGCCTAAAATGAGCACCTAATGGAGTGCTAACAGGCTTGGACTAATGCATCTCAAAGATTCTTAGAACCTTTTTCACATACTCAGACTGGGATAGAGACAGATGTCTATCTTCCCTTGTCCTTGTAATTTCCATGCCAAGAATCCTCTTGGCTGGTCCAAGGAATTTCATTTCAAATTCCTTTTTCAGCATATTCTTAACAGAATTTATTTCACTTAAATTTTTAGATGCAATCAACATATCATCTACATATATCAACAAATAAATGTAACAATCATCATGTAAATTTTTAAAATAGACACAGTGATCAAAATTACTTCTAACAAAACCTTTTGATAAAACAAAATCATCAAAACGTTTATACCATTGTCTGGGTGCCTGTTTGAGACCGTATAAAGATCTCTTCAGCAGGCACACCATGTTTTCTGTCCCCCTCTTTACAAAACCTTCAGGCTGTTCCATATAGATTTGCTCATCAATATTGCCATGGAGGAAGGCAGTCTTGACATCAAGCTGCTCCAGCTTTAAATCATAGATAGCAACAGCAGACAGTATCAATCTTATTGATACATGCTTGACCACAGGTGAGAAAATCTCATTGTAGTCAATTCCTTCAACCTGGGAGTAGCCTTTAGCCACTACCCGAGCCTTGAACCTAGCTGGTTCCACTCCTGGTATTTCTGGTTTTCTTTTAAAAATCCATTTACAGCCAATTACTTTCTTTTTCTTTGGTCTCTCCACCAAAACCCAGGTATTATTTCTCTTTAAAGAGTCCATTTCCTCATCCATGGCTTTTACCCAACTACCCTTGGATTCCAGCCTCATAGCCTCTTTAAAAGTAGCAGGTTCATCTAATTCAAGCACATCCCCAACTTGTAAGGCATATGCAACCACATCAGCATGTGCAAACCTACTTGGAGGTCTAATATTCCTCCTAACTCTGTCTCGTGACAGCAAGTAGTCATCAAGACCACCATTTCCCTCTTCAACCTGTCCACCTTCATCAAGGGGACCAGTTTCCAGCTCTGGCTGACCAGGAACAGCAGGCTGTTCCATCAATTCTTCCCTATCAGCATGCTGCACAGGTATGTCAGCTAGCTCCACCTGAAACTGCAATGTTTCAGATGGTTGGGAAGAACTGGACTCACTTGTTATGTCCTTATAAAAAGTATTTTCTTTGAAAATGACATCCCTACTGACCACACACTTCCTTTCAGCTACAAGCCAGAGCTTGTAACCCTTTACACCAAGGGGATACCCTATAAAGACAGACTTTAAGGCT